AACATATGGAATTCTCTCCCTCCCTTCTTCCTACCCATCCAAAAAACTCTGAATAAAAAATATTTCCTATTACAACCTTAAAATACACCGCATTATCATTTCCACTATATCTTAAGTATTAGCACAGTCATATATAAATCTGACATTATTTTCTTTATCATAAAAATGAAGAAGGAGAGACAGAGAGAGAGAATAAAAAAAAAATACATATAAAAATACAATCCATAATATCATTATCTTTCTCTCTCTCTCCTTCTTCACTTGACATAATTTCTCTGTTTTTCATCTTCTACATTATCACATAGAGTTAAAAGAGTAATCATTTACCCCTCCCCCCCAAAAAAAAAAACTTTATAAACGGAAAAAGTTTACATACTTTCTCTCTCGCTCTCGAGCCCCTAAGAACTAGAAGAAAGACACAGAATGAGGCATAAGAAGGAAAGAATGAAAGGAAGAAAAATCTTAAACTAAAAATAATAATATAATAATAATAATAATAATAATTATAATATAATCTCAACATAATTTTCTGTTCCCCCAAACCCTATAAAAGAAAGAGGGAAATGAACTAAACTAAACTGAAACATGAGAGGAGAAACTAAGAAATGAATCAGACAACTTTTATCTCCCCATTGCAGTGGGCACAGCAGTTGACGGTGACATGTTCGTAACGTGTGTTGGGATGGAACCGGTGCATCATGGCGTTTCGTCCTGGGGAGACGGTGCTGCATCCTTCACATGACGCCCGTCCGTCTTTGTTCCTCCAGCCCAGGACCTGGTTGGGTGTGGGGTGAAGGGGAGAGACGAGGTTGTAAGGATTTAAGTAAGGGTTGGTGTGCAGGGGGAAGGAAGGGGAAAAAGATACAAACATATTGTTAGATTTACAGTGGTGATATGTGGTTATGACATGAAGAAGTTATAAGGAAGATAGAGTAAAACAAAGAAGTAGAAATTTACAAATTTGCAAAAAAATACATTTCCAAAATCAAAGGAACTCACAGAAAAAAAAGAAAAAGGAGTGTAGCTTTTGCCAAAGATTCCTTTAAAAAGGACCAGACAATCAAACACCCGTAACCTTAATCCCACAGCATTCCTGTTTTAGATCGAAAAGCTTGCAAAACAAACAAGTCTCCCAGCTGCTCAGGAAGTGGTTGTGTTTAGCTGAAGGAAAGATACAAGATCTTGCATTCCATTCTTGGAGAAATGAAGACCACAGTCCAAAGCCAAGATAGTTTGCTAACTTTATTAAAGAGGAAGAAAAAAGTGAAGTACGAGATACCTACAATCTATGGCAACTAACACATCGGAAATTCCTTAACTGCTGAACATCACCCTTCATTTTCAAACTACTTGGATCAACAACAAAAGTTTGAAGAAGATGATCTAACATTGGGAAACTTATTTTCAACTTTTTTCTTCTTTAATGGGATGGAATAAGCATATCGTATCACTATAAAAGGTGTTGGAAATGGGAAAAGCCCTTTATTCATTAGCTTTGGTTTGTTTTTTTATATATATGTACACCTGGGAAATCCTAAAGAATAACAAATGAGAGACATTACATGTTGAACTTTTTTCAACATCTACAACAGCTAGGTAGGTATGCAATATTTTCTAATATGATCACATAAAATTACCATCATAAATCTGACATTAATTTCACGGTCCCACAGAACAGTTGGTATACAGACTACAAGATGATTTTTGATCTATTGCATTTAACTGATGACCGTATGCTTAAAGAAATTGTGTAATGCAAATCAGTTCTTAACACAATTTTCTTATACTAGAATCTTCATGATTGTAGGAAGTCTTAACGTAACTTTAGGACGATCAGCTTCAGAAATGTTCTTATCCTTTTCCGTTATTTTGGTATACTGGTTGATTTAAAAAAATTATTATTCCTTAGTAGAGGATTTTGTGCTTCAAAGAGTGTATTCCAAAATTTCTTTAAGCATATGACCCTAACATACAAATGAAGTAAATAGATATGACAATATATGATACATTTAATATAGATATATAAATCACTGAGATAGTATTATCATATACATATTAAAACTTCTTTTTCCAAATATTTCTTCTATCTTCTATCTCAATATCGATCACTTGTAAGGGATTGAATGAGAAAGGCAGAAAAACAGAAAGAAGAGGAAAAAGAGACAAGAGTAGATAATGAAAAGTAAACAAAGAGTTTGTTGATGAAAAGAAGACAATACAGTATTACAGTGTAATCATCATGACAAAATATCCTTCTCCAAGTTTAGTATTTACATAGACCATTTCATGGATTGTTTATCTACGTGAAATGCTGCACTTCCTTCCATTACTGATTTATCTGTAAGAGAAAGCTTCAGAGTGAAAGCTAAAAATACAGCTTCTTACAAGCACAAGCATTCTCAGAGACTTTAAACGGGATTCAATTATACACAAAAGTATGAGATCTGTAATGGGAGGCACATGGCAAAAGGTAATCCAATGATTAATGTACCAGGATAGCAATAATCTCTTCAATTATTTCCAGAGGATTATAAACCTTGTTTTTCTCTCCATACACCCGTAAACCGACCTGTTTTTGATACCTCCTCTCCAAATCAATTCAATGGAAGCATTGGCTATACAAAATATACTTTTACTCAAGGCCCAGTATATTAAGTGCATTTCATTAACAGCTCTCTCAAGATATTAACCACGATGCACAAAAGCTGAGATAATATTTACGCATCTACAAAAGAAAAAAAAAGAAAAATATACAGCACATCCTCATCTCTATTCCTACAGCCTCTCAAAATATATTAGCAACAGCCACTATGATGCCCAACAGCTGCATTTCTCTTCTCTCCCATCTCTCTCTCACCCATATCCTCTCATTTTTATCTTCTCTCTCTTTCTTAGTCCTGGTGTACCTTTCTGTCTTGTGTATCTCCCTGTCTTGGTGTTCTCTACCCTTCTGTCTTCGCATAGCTCCCTGTCTCAGTGCATCTCTCTGTCTTGGTGTACCTCTAGCCTCAGTGTACCTCTCTTGATTAAGTGTACACCTCTCTGTCTTGGAGTACCTTTTTAACATGGTGTATCTTTTTAGCTCTGTGTATTTCTCTGTTTTGGTGTTCCTCTCTGTCTCCGTCTCTCTCTTGTGAGTCATTCTCTCTTAACTAGAGAAGGAAAGGGAGAGGTGGGAGGGGAGAAGGGAATGAGGAGTGAAGGGAAATTGGGGGAATGGGGGTGTATGTGCTTCTTCCCCCACGTAACATCATCTCATGACCAGCATCACTAAGCAAATTTAGACATTCCTCAAGCTGCTGCCATTGGTTTATGTAATCGTTCCATTCCAGATCGTTACCGACACGGTCGTAACTATCGGTAATACCAATACACTTTTAAAAGAGAGAAGAAGCGCAAAGAAACATTCGCTTTTAGAGGCAGAAGCATCAACCATCGTAAAAAATAAGAGGGGTTCAAGTCAGCTACCCTCCCTCTATGGCACACTGTGAAAGCATCTCATCCTAAAAGGGCAAACGGTATTTAAGATTCCTTGGGATAGGAAAATGAGAATTCCTTGCTACTCACAAACGGCTTCTTGATTTTCTTCCCACAAGCCTGAAATATTAAGAATGATATGGCTTAAAGAAAATGAAAGAGAAAATGAAAGAGAAAGTGACAAAAATAGAGGCCAGGAGATTTTTGGAATGAATGAGCAACCTTGTGGAACCACTCTTCTCTTTTTTCTTCTTCAAATTAAGCAATGAAGTTTAGATAACTGTAAAAAAGAAGGATTAATATAAATACAAATATCCTGCACTATCATAGTCCAGAATTATGAACCCTGAGGAAATCCATAAAAAAAAGAACAACAGATAAACAGACCTGTGCAAATACAACAAATATAACACACATACACAGTCAGTCAGTCAAATACACAGACACACAGACACAAACAGACACACAGACACACACAATTTAATCAATTAAAAATAAAGCAAGCAAATAAATAAAAAATTAATAAGAGATATATATAAGTAAACAAAATAAATAAGAATCTATTCAGTATCTAACATAAAAACAGACCTCCAAACCCTGACCAAATCATAGCCTGCTATTACCTGTCGTGCCATCTTCTCGCCAGGGGTCTGTGTCTCAAGGCCCTCCACTGAGAGCCCACAGCCCACAGCCCTCCCTAAGTCGCCCAGGAGCCGATCCCGGACCGTCTCTGCAAGCACGTCCCCATCCACAGCCAGTGTCACGAGGTCGGCTGAGGTGAGGGAAGCAACACCGCCCGATTGTGCTGCGAGGGGGTCGAATGCATCGCGCAGTTGTTTATTCATCCTGGGGAATAGGGAGAAGTGGGAGTCTTCAGCTGGGGTCAATTGGAGTTAGGATTATCAGGATTAAATAGTCATTAACAGCTCATAATGCTATGTTTCCAAACTGGAAGGAATGAATATTGCAATGATAGTAATAACTATGGAAAGAAGAATCAAACAAACAAAGAGAGAAACAAAAAAACACAATAAAAATATTATACAATATCAAAAATAGTCATCAAGCTAAAACTTGCCTGTACATGTTCAGGACATGTTGCCTCGCCATGTCGTGTTCGTCCATCATCACGTGAAGGGCTTCCTCCGCCTCGTCGATGTGTCGCATGAGAGCAGCCTTCCACCCTGCCAACTCGTCTACCAACATGCTACCAAGAAGAGAGAGAGAAAGAAAGGGCTCTTGAGGCTCTATGATTACAACATTGTGATCTTGCTAGAGATCTTAGATAAATGAGTTCTTTACACAGTTGTCAGAAAGTGGTGTTAGAATAGGCATCAAAAATAGTGAAATGAATAAAGAGGGCAGTGAAAGACTATAAAAAGAAAAATGAGGAAAAGGACGAGGAGGAGGAGGATGGAGAGGAGGAAAAGGAGAAAACAGAGGAAAAAAAAGGAAGAATAAAGAGGTAAAAGAAGAGAAGGAAGTGGCAGAGGAGGAGGCAATTGCAAGAAAGAAGAGAAGGGCGAGGGCACCCATGAAGAGGAGGGGGGAAAGTAAAAATGACGAAAAAAAGAAACATTTCCACTTGACAATCAGAATAAAATCAAAACTTTGCACCTGGTTCACTCCCTCCTACACCTCACCTGCTCCCGAGGAACTTGGACCGCCAAACATCGCACTGAATCTCCATCCGTTCCTTTTCCTCATAATCACGGTCAACCCTCTCCGAGTACCGCCGGATCATGGTGGCCATACGCGCCTTGTCTTCAGTGAGGACCTGCACTTGGCCTTGTACGTCTTCTCCCACTGAAGCCACCAAGAGTTTCTTGAGTTCTGCATTGACCTGTAAGGAAGATTGGGGTTGAGTGGGTGAGAGGTTGCGTTAAATTGTCTGTTTTCTTTTGTTCTAAACACTGTTTTTGTTAGTACTATATTTGAGATGAAATAAGAAATCTAAGAAAATGGGTTGGTCTAATCAACATTGCTTTTCTTATATAATATATAGTCTAACAGGATGTATTGTTTTTCTGTTTGTGGAGATGATAGGTTCAACTGTCAAAGGACTAAATGCTTTTTTTTTCAAACCTGAATGCAGAGATGAAACATGTATCCCTAATAGAAATGATGAACTGTTTTAGAAGTAATTTGATGACAAAACTGACTACATAACCACAATAATTCTGCAGCAAAACCCTTAAAACATTTGTTACCAAAGCAAACAATATAACTGTTATACATTAACTGTAAGTCATTATTATTTTCTATCATTACCAGGGATCAATATTTATCAGATACAATTAACATTTTTTCTTAAGACTGGGGGGGGGGGGGGGGTCTATACCTGAGACTGAATCTTCAACTGATTCTCCAAATTGGTCTTGTCTTTCTTCATCTGGCTCAGTTGCTCCTCCATGCTCTTCTTTTCCTCGATAAGCACCTTGGTCTGTTCCTCCCACGACGCTCTCTCGCGCTCAAAGTCCTTGACCATGATGTTTAGCTGCAAAGCATGAGAGCGATTTCATGATTTGAAATTTCTCTTTCTTCTCTTATAAAAGTACATTCTCTGTGTATGGAATGGAAGAGGAAGAGGAAAAGGAATAACGGAATGAGAAGGGAAAGAAAAGGAAGTGAAGTCACATCAATTTAGAATTATCATTATCATCTTTTTCCTCTATGTAGCAAGCTCAATATAAAAAGCAAATAAACTTAGATCTTATTCCCAACCCAGTGTTGAAGGACTTTAATTCTGTGACATAAGAGGTGTACAGAAATGAAGAACAGTTAACAAGACTATGAGCAGAAATATTATACAGATTCATGAAAAATGTCTCAAGAAATAAAAAAAAATTGCTGACCTTCTCTGTGGTCTTCTGTTCATCAGCTACTGGCTCTGTTTTAGAGGCACTGTCCTTCTCCTCTGATACCGCTGGAACAGACTTCCCTGCTGCTTCTTGCTGCACCACTTTTGTCTTCTTTTTGGTGAAAATTGGCTTCACGCAGCCTTTGTAGGGCTCATACGGCACAAACTTTGGTTCCTTGCGTTTCTGAGTGTAGAGGCTTGTAGACCCCTCTCTGGCAGCAGCACAAAGTGCTGCAGCAACTCCGCCACTTGGAGAGCTTGGGAGAACTGGAATCATGCGTTTGGTTTGCATGTCCTTTGGGGGCGTGTTAAGGAGGTGGGTGTCTGGAGTGGACATCACAGACACCTTCGTCAGCTTGTGGGCGATGTCAGCCACCTCGGGCAAGTACTTCTCCGATCCCAGCCTCCTGGGCCCTCCACCCTCTTTCTTACCCCCTAGACTCAACTTTGGTTCTGATTTAGTTTTCCGGTCTAAGGGCTTTCCCTCTGTTTTAGCCTTCTCCTCGACAGTGTGTAGGGTGGGTTTCTGTTTGGCTGTCTCGCCACTGACAGAATTTCCCGTTTCACATACAAGAGACGAGGGGGCTTCCACCTGTTCCTGGCCATCTCCTTGGGACCTCTTCCCGGCAGCTACTCTGTGGAGGGTCACACCTGGAGGAGGGAGAATGGACCTTGTTTAGAAGTGAGTCATTTTTACCAAGCTTTGTTGAAACTGGGATAGAAAAACAGAGAGACATAAAAAGAAAATAAGAGAGGGAGACAGAGAGAGAGAGAGATAGAGATAGATAGATAGATAGATAGATAGATAGATAGAGAGATAGAGAGAGAGAGAGAGAGAGAGAGAGAGAGAGAGAGAGAGAGAGAGAGAGAGAGAGAGAGAGAGAGAGAGAGAGAGAGAGAGAGAGAGAGAGAGAGAGAGAGAGAGAGAGAGAGAGAGAGAGAGAGACGAGAGAGAGAGAGAGAGAGAGAGAGAGAGAGACGAGAGAGAGAGAGAGAGAGAGAGAGAGAGAGAGAGAGAGAGAGAGAGATGAGTGAAAGTTTATATGAGAATGAGTGAGAGAAAGTGAGGGAATAAATGAAAAAAAAACAATGCCTTAGACATATAATAATACAGGTATCAAAAAAGAAAGAAGAGCTAAACTGTATTTTAAATAACATGACAAGCCACATTACCTTGTACTGGATATCTAATAGCACCTGAAGGCTTCATTGTTACTACAGTCTGTAAAAAATAAAAAAAATAAAATGAATGAACAGGTATGAAAATAAACAGAATGAAATGTAAATGTTAATCCCCAATCTCATTTGGCAGTGAATCTCTGGCATAATCTTTCCATATATACATACATTATATATATATATATATATATATATATATATATATATATATATATATATATATATATATATATATATATATATATATATATATATATATATATATATATATATATATATATATATATATATATATATATATATAGGTATATATAAATATATAGGTATATATAAGTATGTAAATAGGTATATATATGTATATGTGTATATATATATATATATTATATATATATATATATATATATATATATATATATATACACATAGGTAGATATATAAATATATATATATATGTATAGGTATATATATATGTATATATATATATATATATATATATATATAATATATATATATATATATATATATATATATATATATATATATATATATATATATATACATACACAAACATACAGAGCTATATCTTATTCATCCTTGTAGTTATATCCTATATCTTTTTTCAGTTCGGTAAGTATTTTTCTAGTATATATCTATTCATCATTAATGACACTAGCATTACAATAAAGATAAATTTATTTTGAACATTGTCATTATTTCTGTTATCAATATTGTAATCATTACTATTGTTTAGAATATTGTTTACTATTATCTTACAATCATATCATCATCATTACCATTAGTACCATCAAACATAATCACATTAAAATCATATAATTTTTCATAATACAAAGATGGCCTGAGTCTAAGTGCAAGTCTGAGGGTATGTCCATAGGCACACAGGTCACTAAGTTACAGGATGAAGCCATATGCTAGCTATTTCCTTTCCCGCCCCTTAATGGTAATACCCCAGGGGAAGAGGGTCTTGCTTTTGATATAGGGTTCGGGAGGTATGTATGTCCTTCAACTTCCCACACGGTGAATGTTTAGTGGCTAATATGGAAATGGAGGGAAATGCACACCTATATTACAGTGTATCCAAAAAGCATTTAAAGATCATTGAAAAATACACATAGTATTTTGCAAAATACACACATTACAATGTAGAATAAATCAGTATTAACTTTATACCCGAATGCTTTGAAAGAATATTAATTAAAGTATACTTCTTGCCAAGGCTATCAGAATGTACAGTATATGAATAACAAATAAAACAAAATACATTTAAAGAATATTAATTAAAGTATACTTCTTGGCTATAAGAGTATATGGTATATGATAACATCTAAAATAAATATGGTAACAATAAAATGCTATGCATTCAAGAGTTTTACAGCAAAGTATATTACACATTTGACACATATGGCATACTCTACTTAGTATTAGTACTTCATGTAACAGCATATGTACAACAGAAATTGCAAAACATTTCATTATGGTTACTTTTCACACAAATAAAACAAGATAAGACTCTCGCGACGTAAAACCTTGATAATGATAAAGGTACAAATACGTATGCATCTTCAAGGTCAGTAAACACTAGTAAAAACTTCAAAAGTTCCACGTAGTTTAAACTAGGAAAATGTTCTTAGGCTGAACTTGCTGGATATCAAGACCTGAGAAAAGCAACGACACGTCAATCCTTAAAAACATTTACAAGAATAACATGAGAATATATAAGATATTCCCATAGTTTGGCACAATTTCCTAAAAAAATAAGTTTAACTTTTCTCAACTCATCTCCTTAAGAAATAAATCAACAATCACTAATGAAACACGCATTACGAAGTTATGATCCTTACTTGCTATTTACGGTAGATTTCACTTACTTTTAAGAGTAATTATGCTAGATTTATCACAGTTAGAGGAAGAGGAAGGGAAGTTTCACTTTCTTTCTCGACGGTCTGTTTACCTTCAGCTTGTGTTCGAAGACTCATAACCAGAGAAAATATTCATTTACTCTCATATTTCTTGTTTTACCTCGCAAGCTGATAGTAAAATTAGGTATTATAACTATAATTGAGTATTAGGTAAATCATATTCGACCATAGGGAATATAAAGGTTAACAAGAATGAAAAAAAAACGATATTAATCCTTCCATAATACACGCTTTCGAACGCAATGATGTAGTAGATAAGGATCTTGAATATAAAATAACTTTTTACGAACAAAATGTATAACATAAATGTAATTACTAATTTACAATTCAAAAAAAGACAAATAAACACCATGACATGAAAAATGCTAACATACCTAACATGTCTATGCTTATCTCTGGAAAATATAACGAGTGGTTTGTCACTACTATCTTTTAAGCTATAAACATACGAAATGTGTTCTTTGAGTGGATAATTGGTCTTCTTGCTTTCAATTGCTCCAGTAAAAAAAAAAAAAAAAAAAAAAAAAAAATGATGTCGCGTCCCCTA